AAAAGGATAGCAAATGTGTCTTGCTCTTAAGATTAGGCACTAGTGAATGTTTGTGCTGAATAGTGAATATATGTTGCTCCAGTAATGTTTAGCTCGCAAGACTAAGCAGGACTACAGTACTTTATTCTTCCAAACACTTTGTCCTAACTCACCTCAGCACCATTTGCCATGGACAAGATCCTCGTTCTCCTGCTGATCACCCTCGCGGTGGCCTGTGCAGCTCCTCCGGACCCCCGCGGAATCATCATCAACCTGGTAAGGGGATCTGCAGGGGCGATGGCTAAGTCCCCAGAGGGGGGTTTCTAAGTTTGATGAGAGAGGACTTTTGCAGGGAGATGGCTTTCAACTTTCAAAGGTGTGTAGGAAGATAGGCATGGTGGCATACACTTGTAAGGCTGAGACAGGAAGAATGAGTTCAAGAGCAGCCTGGGTTACATAGCAAGACTCTGTCTCCAAAAGAAGAAAGCTGGGCACTGGTGGCTCATGCCACCAGCTACTCAGGAGGCTGAGATATGAGGATCACGGTTCAAAAGCCAGCCCATGCAGGAAAGTCTGTGAGACTCTTATCTCTAGTAAACCACTAGAAACAAACTGGAAGTGGCGCTGTGGCTCAAGTGATAGAGCACTAGCCTTGAGCTGAAGAGCTGAGGGACAGTGCCCAGGCCCAGAGTTCAAGCCCCATGACCAACAAAAGAAACAGGAAGAAAGAAAGAAAGAAAGAAAGAAAGAAAGAAAGAAAGAAAGAAAGAAAGAAAGAAAGAAAGAAAGAAAGAAAGAAAGAAAGGAAGAAAGAAAGAAAGTGGAAGAGGAGAAGGAGGAGGAGGAGGAAGAAGAGGAGGAGGAGGAAGGAAGGAAGGAAGGAAGGAAGGAAGCAGCAGCAGCAGCAGCAGCAGCAAGCACTGGTGGCTCACGCCTGTAATCCTAGCTACTCAGGAGGCTGAGATCTGAGGATTGCAGTTCAAAGCCAGTCCAGACAAGAAAATCCATGAGACTCTCTGTCTCTGTCTCTCTGTCTGTCTCTGTCTGTCTGTCTCTCTCTCTCTCTCTCTCTCTGCCAGTCCTGGGGCTTGAACTCAGGGCCTGAGCACTGTCTCTAATGCTTCTTTTTGCTCAAGGCTAGCACTCTACCACTTGAGCCACAACACCACTTCTGGCTTATTCTGTTTATGTGTTGCTGAGGAATCGAACCCAGGGCTTTGTGCATGTTAGGCAAGCATTCTATCACTAGGCCACATTCCCAGCCCTCCATGAGACTCTGATCTCCAATTAACCACCCCCAAACTGGAAGTGGAGCCATGGCTCAAAATGGTAGAGAGTCCTGGCCTTGTGCAGGAAAATCTCAGGGACAGCACCCAGGTCCTGAGTTCAAGCCCCATGACCGACAAAAAGAAGAAAGAAAAAAAGAAAGAAAGAAGGAAAGAAAGAAAGAAGAAAAGAGAGAGAAGGAAGGAAGGAAGGAAGGAAGGAAGGAAGGAAGGAAGGAAGGAAGGAAGGAAGGAAGGAAGGAAGGAAGGAGAAAAATTAAGTGTGGGGCATGTGGGAGCTGGAGCTGTTTGGATCTGGAGACCTTATGTCCCATCTATGTACATGTCAGATGGGAACACTGAAGCCTGGGAGGGCAGTAAGTGGTTGGGGTCACCCAGGGGGTCAGTAGGACTAGAGTCTCATGGATGGGCAGCAGGGGTTGGACGTCTTCCCACAGGTGTCCCTGAGGGAGGTGCCTGGCAGGGGGAGGGGCTGGGGAAGGTCCTGGGATAGCCCTTCTCTCCTCAGGATGAAGGCGAGCTCTGCCTCAACAGCGCCCAGTGCAAGAGTGGCTGCTGTCAACACAACACCGTCCTGGGCCTCGCCCGATGCACGCAGAAGGCCAGGGAGAACGCCGAGTGCTCTCCTAAGGTGGGGACCGGGACCGGGACCAGGACGGGGACTGGGGTGGAGGGACATGGGGTAAGAGCCCCGCTGCGGTGCCCGTGAGGTCTGGGGATGGAGACGCGGAGTGTGGACAGGGACCTCAGCCGGCACCTCCGTGTCCCTCCTGCCATCGCCCACGGCGCTGGATGAGGCGGAAGTGCACCCTCCATTCACAGCTGGGCACATGGAGGCTCCCCTAGGCAGAGCCTGAAAGAGACATAGAGGCCGGGCGCCCATGGCTCACGCCTGTAATCCTAGCTACTGAGCAGGCTGAGATCTGCGGATCACAGTTCAAAGCCAGCAGGAAAAGTCCATGAGACTCTTATCTCCAGTTAACAGCAGAAAACTGGAAGTGGCGCTGTGGCTCAAGTGGTAGAGTGCTCACCTTGAGCTGAATCACTCAGGAGTAGTGCCCAGACCCAGAGGTCAAGCCCCACAACCAACAACAACAACAATAATAATAGAAGTAGACTGCCCAGAGCGCCCTCTGCAGAGGCAGTGGGAGAAGCGCATCCTGTAAGGAACCACCTGCTGGATCCCTGGCCAGGAGAGACTGAACCCCAGCAGCTGCCCCCCTCTACCCCCAACCTGAGACTCCACCTCCTGTGTCTCTGCAGCACATCCAGGGGGTTTACTACCGATGTCCCTGTGAGCGGGGCCTGTACTGTGAAGGGGACAGGAGCATCATTGGTGCCATTACCAACACCAACTACGGCATCTGCCTTGATACCAACCGCTCCAAGGAGTGAGGCCGCCCACACGCCCCTGCCCCTAGTCCTGCGCACCGTAGGACACCACGCCAGACCACCTCTCCCCTCCTCCACGGCCTCCCGGGCTGGCCCCCTCCTCCTCCTCCAGGCCCTCTGGGATCTGATTGGGCTCTCAGCAATTAAAGCCCACCTGCAACCCTCCCGGCCTCCTGTGGATTCTTGCTGGGATGTGAGAGAAAGCCTGTGCCCGCATGGCAGGCAGCAGAGGGGCCAAAAGAATCAGGGACAGGAACGGGGACAGGGAGGGTGGAGCCAGGCAGATTGGAGACTGGAGACGAGGCTGTGAAGCAGGCTTAGCCAGCCCAGGATTAGTTCCAGTCTGGGGATGACCTCGTCTCTCAAGTTCTGCAATGGCCCACAGGTACCACCCTGTGCCCTGCACCAGATCTCGCCAGCCCCCGCCCTGTTCTCTCTCACCTTTTCTGGGCTCCACAGTTGACTGGGACAACCCGTGGAGAAGGGGTCAGATCACTGACAATTGCTGTGGGCTTACTTGGTCCTAGCAAATCCACATCATGGAAAAATGATCATCCCTATGTGTGTGCATATATGTGTGTGTGTCTATATACATATATACACCGTGATATCTATATTTTGATATACTTTGATATATAATCACATGTATATGTATAATACATACATACCCTGGTGTGTGTGTGTGTGTGTGTGTGAGGGGGGGCAGGGGGACCAAGAGGCTAGAGATGGAAAGTTCTGGGTTTGTGTGGTGACTGGCAGATCTGCAATTCTCTTGGCCTTCCTGTCACAGCTTCAGCATAGCAGCAGCTTCCATCACCGTTATACCTTCTCACCGTATTCTGAGACAGGAAGTGGAGGAGATGGAGGGAGGGAGGGAGGGAGGGAGGAATGGGCGTGACGGAGGAGCAGAGCAGCCCAAAGGCTCCCGGTAGATTTCTCTTCATATCACAATGGTCAGACCTGGGTCACGCAACCACCTTTAGCTGCAAGGGAAGCTGGAGACCTGAAAGGACGGAGGAATGAGGACCCCTCTGTCCAGAGAACGCTGGGGCTCTGTTGCAGTGCTGCTGGGGAAGCAGTAACAGTGTCTGCTACACATGCGCTGGCATAGAACAAGAAAGGCTGTCAGCACTGACTCCAGGGGAGGTGTCAGGCCCAGGGCAGGGGTGAGAATCCCTTCTTGGTGTCCAGACTCAGTCCTGGACTGTAGTCTTCTTCTTCTCTATCTGCAAAGTGACCACAGTGATGAACCCCTGCAATGAATGACTCCCTGCAATAAGTAAGAGCCGGGCGCCCGTGGCTCATACCTGTAATCCTAGCTACTCAGGAGGCTGAGATCTGAGGATCACGGTTCAAAGCCAGCCGGGCAGGAAAGTCCATGAGACTCTTATCTCCAATAAATCACTAGAAAAAAGCCAGAAGTGGCGCTGTGGCTCAAGTGGTAGAGCGCTTGCCTTGAGCTGAAGAGCTGGGGGACAGCGCCCAGGCCCAGAGTTCAGGCCCCACCCACCACCACCAACAACAAAAAAAGTAAGGAGCTTGCACCCAGACATAGACTTTTCTGGAGACTCAGAGTAGGGAAAAAAGACAAGCCTTTCAACAGCTATAGCTCAGATCCCCTCATGCCCCTGCGTTGGTACTGTCCGGACCCCTTCTGGAGCCTCTGCACCCCTGGTGGACAGAGAGGGGAATTGCAAGCACTGTGACCCACTGAGACAACGTGGTAACCAACTCAGGCAGGGCCTCTCTGCATCCCTGCGCTAGCCTGCCCTGGGGGGCTGGTCTGGGTTCTCGCTCAGTTAACAGGAAGACAGAGCTTGAAGTCCTGGATCCCAGCTTAAAGGAACACAATGGCAGACAATCCTGGGCATGGAGCTGCAGTTCCCCATCCAGAGGGATGTTTCTTACAACATCTGGGCACCTTTGTGCGGGGGCAGGCATAGGTGTGTGCACACATGCATGTGTGAGTGTGTGTGTGTGCATTCAGATTCTGCACACACTCTTGTAGCACTCTGGGGGTTCTCTTGTGACTCAGATACCCCCACTGGTGACATCCCTCTGACCTCCCGCCCATGGGTACCCCAAACACTTTAGGTATACTCTTCAACTCTGCCTGGCCTGTGCAACTTTCCGGACCCAAACTGCTCTCCTGCATACCCGACCCCACCCCTGGTGGCCTTCCTTCCTGCAGGTGGAGGTGGGGTGGGGAGGGAGCGCTGGGGCTGTAGACAGGACCACAGCCCTGGAGAAGGGAGGGGCTCCTCCCTCAGGAAGTGTAGACGGAGACCAGAGCCAGAGAGGGACTTTAATACTCCACTCAGGAGAGGCAGCCAGAGCGCGCCTCTATATCAGATAGCACCGGTGGGGGCACATCAGGTCCTTGGTAGAGCAGGTCAAGCCTGTGCGGCACGGACACATAATGTTGACGGCTCCGTTGGTCTGTGGGGAGGGAAGTGCGTATGAGCATCAGGGTCACCAGGGTCTAGGAAAGGCAAAGCCGCCATTTCTTGTGTGGTGGTAGGGGGGTAAAGAGCACAAGTACTAGAGAGACACAGACTCCGAGTCGGTGGCTCTACAGCTTACGAGTGTGAGGCTGAGGATTGAGACCTGTGTGACTCAGTTTCCCCATCTGTTATGTGGTTAACAGTAAGTGGTCATCCAAGTTGAAATACGATAGATGAAGCTCTCCTGATTAATAAACACAAACCAAACTACAATAACCAGGCACCAATGGTTCACGCCTGTAATCCCAGCTACTCAGGAGGCTGAGATCTGAGGATGGTGGTTCGGAGCCAACCCAGGCAGGAGCGTCTGCAAGACTCCTCTCTCCAATAAAGTACTTAGAAAAAGCCAGATGTGATTGTTGTGGTTCAAGTAGAAGGGCCCCAGCCTTGAGCAAAAGAAGCTAGAAGCTCATGGACAGTGCACAAGTCCCAGGACACACACACACACACACACACACACACACACACACACACACACACACACACACGCACACATGCACACGGCACCTGGGCTGCAGGGTCAGGCCATGGGAAAGGCCCAGCACAGGGATATTAGGCCAGGCTTCTCCTCCCTGCAAAGGTTCGCGCCCAGGGCCAATGAGCAAGAACAAGATCTTCCCTCCCTGCATTTCTACCAGCCAATGATGAACACTGGCAGCTCTGGCCTAGCTAGGACCATGGATTCTTCTCCCAAACCCCATGGTATATATGTGGGATCTCTCTACTTCACAAAGTAGGAAATGAAGACTGAAGGAGGGTACCCGGGGCCTAACCTTGGGGTCCACTCCAACACTGTGGTCCTGGCCCCGCACTTCCTAGGAAATTCATCACAGTGATAAGGAGAGATCTTTTCTTCCCTACCTTGCCTCAGTAATGTTAGGGTAGAAATCATTATTCAACAAATGTTTGTTGAGTGTCTACTATGTACAGGCCCTAAGCTGGGGCTCCCATTATGAAGGGAGGCAAACAGAGGCATGGCAAATCTAAGACGTGTGCTCTTCTGCCCAGAGTTCAAACCCAGAGCATGGGAAATCCAAGGAGGGAAAAGTGGCTAGGGTATTACAGGATGAGTAGGAGTTTGCCAGGTGGAGAAGGGGCAAGGAGGAACACCGTGGGAGGAGGACAGGAAAGCCCCATGTGGTTCATTGTGTTCCCTTCCCCGCCCCCTCCCATCTGCCCCAGCCAGAACCTCACCTGGGGCAGGCACACCGTGGCCATGCCGCCCTTGGCCGCGCAGAAGGCCCCCCCGAAGTCCCAGTCCACGAGGCAGCAGTCGCTGTAGCACTCCGAGTGGTGGTAGCACCTGCTCCCGTTTCTCTGTGGGGACAGGCGGCCACTGCCAGGCTGGGACACTCTCTTACTCACCAGTTTCTTTGGCTATGAAGACGACGGTGGAGTTGCTGGCAGTGCCAGACAAGCCGGGGGTCCAGGACAAGAAGCGGTGAGGTGCTCACCCCACATCCCGCCCTCCATTGCTCCTCCCCCAAGAACTCAGAGGCACAGAGGAAGCACTGGGGGACTGCCCTTCCCCCTCGGCCTCTCCTGGGGATCCCAGTGCTGGCTACTAAGTACTCCCAGCTTGCCTTGAACAGGGTGAGTAGAAAGGGAAAGAAAGCCCGGCACCTGTGGCTCACGCCTGTAATCCTAGCTATTCAGGAGGCTGAGATCTGGGGATCGAGGTTCAAAGCCAGCCTGGGCAGGAAAGTCTGTGAGACTCTTATCTCCAATAAACCACCAGAAACCTGGAAGTGGCACTGTGGCTCAAGTGGTAGAGCGCCAGCCTTGAGCTGAAGAGCTGAGGGACAGCGCCCAGGCCAGAGTTCAAGCCCCACAACCGACCAAAAAAAAAAGGAAAGAAAAAGGGAAAGAAAGAGGCAGAGACCCAAAGTCACCACAGCTGGGAAGATCTGGGGGGGGGGACAGGGCTGGGGGCTCTTGGGGGAGGAGCAGTGTCTGGACAGCCAGGAAGGGGTGCTGACTGGGGTCCAGGTCCCCCAGGATGGGCCGAAAGGGGCTTTGAAGTGTGTCTGAGCTCAGATCCCGGCTGGGCCCGGGTTTCTGAGTCCTCACTGGGGTGGCCGGGCAGTGGGAGGGCCGGGCTGTGGGAGCAGGCCAGGCCTCGCGGCTCACCAGTCTTCGCTGTGCGTTCTTCCCCGCGGACGGCAGCAGGGCTCCCGCAAGGAGCAGGGCGGTGGCCGCCAGGGCTGCAGCCGCCATGCCTGGGTGAGGGTGGCGGAGTTTAGGGGGCCCCCAAGGGTGTTGGGATAAACCCCTCCACCTGGCCATGTGACCCATCCCACCCCACCGAGACAGAGAGCCCTAATGGTCACTAATGGTCACAGGCTGTGCTGCCCACAGCCGCCTCCCAGCTCAGCTGCTTCTGGCCGAGGGGGAATGGTGGGGGGAGGGGCAGGGGAAGGGCGTGGGGGGGGCAGTAGGGATGCAACTTCCAAACAAAAAAACTTTGAACTATATAACCACCCCCAGCCCCCCCCCAAAAGAAAAGTAGACAGTGGCTTGGCATCATAAGGATTTATTTACCACCTGTGGAAGGCGTGATTGGGTGCAGAAGGAACCGCTCCCCTCCCCCCCATCCCCTCCTCTTTTTATAGCCAGGCCACCTGGAAGCAGGTATCTGTGGTCCCTAAGGAAGATTCTAGACACATCACCAGCTCCACCAGGCGTGATGCAGGCCTCAATTAACCATTGGCCAGAATAAGACATACGACCTCCACTTCCTGCCGGAGATGGAGGCTGGGAAATTCAAGGGACCCATTTCCTCCCTGCAGCTCATCCCCATTCTATAGGAGTGCTCACAGAAACGTAGCCAAGTCACATGACACAACCAAACAGGCGTGTCAAGAGGCCCAGGGCCTTCTAGCCACTGAAGCCAAACTCTTCCCACTGGACTACACCACCCAGGGCTGTCAGAGGTGTGTCCCCCTAAAGCACGTCTGTCCTTACTGTATCCTCTGCCTCTATCCTGATCTAAAACTGCATGTGTAAATGTGTGCGTGTATGTGTGTGTGTGTGTGTGTGCATGTGTATAAGATAAACATCAAGAGCCTGGTTCTGATGGCTCACACGTGTAATCCTAGCTACTCAGGAAGCTGAGATCTGAGCATCACAGTTCAAAACCAGCCTGGGCAGGAAAGTCCATGAGACTCATCTCCAATAAATCACCAGAAAACTGCAAGTGGCGCTGTGGCTCAAGTGGTAGAGTGCTCGCCGTGAGCTGAAGAGCTGAGGGACAGTACCCATCGCCTAGAGTTCAAGCTCTAGGACTAGTGCGCGTGCGCACACACACAGAGACACACACACACACACACATACACACACACAAAGATACAGTCCACTTGATGTGGCTTCTCTGGGGAAGGTTGATGGCAGCTGGTCAGGATGGAGGACGGTAGCTTGTGGACAGGTTATGCGGTGAGGATGGGATCGCCCTGCTCTGTCCATGCGGTGGAGCTCCTAGGGCCATTTCCTGACAGACAGGGAGTGATCCATGCCCCCCTTCCCGTCGCCCCTGCTGCACCCGCAGACCCAGCACACACAGTCCCAAGCTCATCTCCTCCCAGGACAGGGTGCCCTGGCTTGGCAGGAAGTGGCCAGGAAGGACAGGTGGGAGCTGACCACAGTCCCAGCCCACACCTGGCTGCTTTGAGATGCCTCGGGCTGGCGGGCAGGGCTGTGTGGTCACAGCTGGCAGCCGGGTGTGCTGCCCACTGCCCGCGCATGTGCGCTGCCCACCAGCAGGATGGATGCACAGGCACAGTGGAGCCGTGATCAAGGCTCTGCCGTCCCCCTCCAGGAGTCTGAGCCACATGTGCATCTGGTCCCTCTGGCAATGAAGGCTTCCTGCTCACTTCAGGACTGTCAACGCCTGCAGCTGCACGCGAAAGAAACCTCAACCCAACCGACTTACTGAAGAACAAAACACCCCAGAAGTAAAACACCTCACTAGTGGCTTGCACCTATAATTCTAGCTACTCAGGAGGCTGAGATCTAAGGATTGTAGTTCAAAGCCAGCCCGGGCAGGAAAGTCCATTAACCACCAAAAAGCTGGAATTTGGAGGTGTGACTCAAGTGGTAGAGCACCAGCCTTGAGCTGAACAGCTAAGGGGATGGCACCCAAACATTGAGTTCAAGCCTCAGTACTGGCGCGCGTGTGTACACATGCCTGTGCGCGCACAGACACACACACACACACACACACACACACACACACACACACACACACGCTGGTTAGGATCCACCCACCTCTTTCCACTGCCTGTTCTTCCTCCACTAGTCGACTGAGCCAGTCTGTTTGTCCGCAGACTCCCAGGTCACATCGTGCGTCAGCACTCCACTGCTGGGGAGTGGCTGCCCGCCTGGGACATTACAGAATGAAGTCCCACTGGGGACACTTCGCTACACCAAATTTATTCCTAAAATATCGTTCTTCCTTCACTCATAACTTAGTTTGAGCTTCCGGTAACTGTTTTACTTTATAAGCAGAACTCTTACAAACTTCCAGACAGGACACCATGCTGGGCAGCAGTGGCTCACGCTTGTCATCCTACTTACTCAGAAGGCTGAGATCTGAGAATTCCAGTTCGAAGCCAGCCCAGGTGGGACTCATCTTCAATAAACTACCAAACAGGCTGAAAATGAAGCTGTGGCTCAAGTAGTAGAGTCTAGCCTGGAGTGAAAGCTGTATAGGGACAGTGCCCAGGCCCTGAGTTCAAACCCCAAGACTGGCACATAACATATCAAACATCTGTACATGTTTTGATGTCCTTAATCTGTAAGGATTGTTGTTTTTTTCCCACTTAATTTGTGTGTGTTTGTGTGTGTGTGTGTGTATGTGTGTGTGCGCGCACACACGCACATGTGTAGTCTAGTAGAACTAGGGGCTTGAACTCAGGGCCTCATTCTCATACTTGGCTTTTTCACAGCTTCTGGGGGTCCCATCTTTGAGTAATGCACACAGAACACAGCACCTCATGTTAAGTCATATTACCACCACATGATTCTCCCAACCATCTCATGAGACAAGCCACTGTCATTCTATTCATTTCTGGCTGAGTTAAACCAGGACCAACGGTCTCCCCAAAGCCCCACAGCTAGAGAGTGAGAGGCCTGAGATTCCAAACAGCATCTGACCCTGAGTCCATTCTTAATATGCCTGTGGTTCTCTGTCCCTCATGCTTTCACCAAATTCTTCCCTGGGTACATGGTAAGACCGATCTTCTCTCATCACTTTTTTTTTTTGTCAGTTGTGGGGCTTGAACTCTGGGCCTGGGCGCTATCCCTCAGCTCTTCAGCTCAAGGCTAGCACTCTACCACTTGAGCCACAGCGCCACTTCCAGCTTTTTCTGCTTATGTGGTGCTGAGGAATCGAACCCAGGGCCTCATGCATGCAAGGCAAGCGCTCTACCACTGAGCCACCTTCCCAGCCCATTCCCTCATCACTTTGGCCAAGGAAATATGAGCAGCAGGACTAAAGCATCATTTCTGGTGGAGGATTGAAAAGTAGGTGATGACAACCACATTCCTGTCTCTCCCTCTAACCGTTGTACAGACACAGTGAAGGAACTTCCTTCCACTTCCTCTGAGGGCAGTGTGGAGCAGAGGCCCCTGTTCCCACCCCCAGCATCCTGTGCCAGGCATGTACTGTCAATGTAAACTAACTTTTTAGCATTTTTAAGCCACTGAGACTGGAGGTGTATTTGTTACTGTGGCGTAGCCTAGAGCCCATCCTGACTAAATCCAGTGCTATCCCGCTGTCTCCTAAGGATCATCTTTGCTCTCCATCCCTAAGCTTGTTGTACTAGTCAGCCAAAATGAAATACCTGACGTATTATGAAGAAAAGAGGTTTATTAACGGCACAGTTTTGGATGTTTAAAGTCCGACATGAGGCAAACACCATTAGTTCGACAACTGATGAGGGCCTAAAGTGGATGACGCCCCATCATGGCAGGAGCTCCAGTGTGACAAAGCATCACCTCGACAAGCAGAACTGGGATCCTGTGGTTCTTTCTAAGGATACTCCTCCAATGACCTGAGGCCCTCCCACTAAGTCCCGCCTCTCAGAGCTCCACAGTGTCTCCTAAGATCCACCTTCTGATTGGACACCCTACAGACCAAACTCCAACACTTAATTCACAGCACCTGCCTTCTCCCAACTCCCTGAAAACATGGGGTCTACATTACAGATCGAAAAACAGCAAGAACAAAAGGGAGTCAGAAGCCAGCTTGCATGACATCTCTACCCAGCCCTGAAAGGCCACAGACTGTAGCTTCAAGAGGTCTTGAGCATCTATCCCATACTCATTTATTGGTTTCTCTTTTAATTCTATTCCCCAGTTCTAAAGTAGGAATGGCTAGGTTGGCAAGAGGAGCGCCGGGATACCAAGTCCTGGGGACACTGAAGGCTGACAATGACCTTGCAGGCCTGGATCTGAACCTCCTCTTCAGGGTGGATGACCAGCGCAAGCAGCCGGTCTGCCAATCGGGACTCATCCCCAAACAAGGCTTCGTGTAGGGACTGTTCGTTGTAATGCCATTTCACAGCTCGATAGTGGGGTATATTCTGGCCTTCACTCAGCCGCTCTGCAAACACCAGTATCTCGAAAAGCAGACTTGGTGGTTGTGTGGACTGGAACATGTTCAGGAAATTGCAGTGTACCTGCCACGCGGAAATGGAGGAGAACACAAGTGACATCGCGGGCAGGTTCTCACATTCTTATTCTTTTGGACTTCTATTGTCCTGACTTATCATTGCACACAGGTTTTCCTTTCCATTCTTGTCTGCCTACTTTAATTATATTGTGGTCATAAAATACAAGAGATATGGGGTTGGGAAGGTGGCTCAGTGGTAGAGCGCTTGCCTTGCATGCCTGAGGCCCTGGATTCGATTCCTCAGCACCACATAAGCAAAAAGAAAAAAGCTGGAAGTGGTGCTGTGGCTCAAGTGGTAGAGCGCTGGCCCTGAGCCGAAGAGCTGAGGAACAGCACCCAGGCCCAGAGTTCAGGCCCCACGACTGGACCCAAAAAAAAAAAAAAAATACAAGAGATATGATCCTAATATGGATTCAGGAGCCAGGCAATGACAGCATACACCTATAATCCCAGCTACGCCAGAGGCCAAGATGTGAAAATCTGACTTTGAAGTCAGTCTGAGCAGAAAATTTCAAGAGACTCTCATCTTCAATTAACTAGTAAACAACTAGAAGTGAAGGTGTGGCTCAGGTGGTAGAGCACTAGTCATAATGGGAAAAGGCTGAGCAAGAGCACAAGGCCCAGCAGGTGCCAGTGGTTCACGCCATTAATCCTAGCTACTCAGGAGGCTGAGATCTGAGGATCATGGCTTAAAGCCAGCCCAGGCAGGAAAATCCAGGAGACTATTATCTCCAATTAACCAGTAGAAAACCAGAGGTGGCCTGTGGCTCAAGTGGTAGAGTTCTAGCCTTGAGCTGAAGAGCTGAGGGACAGCGCCCAGGCCCAGAGTTCAAGACCTATGACCAACAATAAATAAAAGAGCACAAGAACTAGAATTAAGATGTAGTACAGGCACATAATAATAATGATGATGATGATGATGATGATAATAATAATAATATGGATTCTGGAGAAGCAGAGCTGTAGCTCAAGTAGTAACTATAAGCAATAATGCTAAGGGACAGTGCCCAGGCTTGGAGTCAAGCTCCAGGACTAGCACAAAGAATATGTAAAGTAATATAATAAAATAACATGGATTCTGAAAATTTTGTTGAAACAAATATTAAGGTTTAGCATCTGGTTAATTTTTTATTTTTATCTTATTTTTTTGTCAGACATGGGGCCTGAACTCTGGGCCTGGGCACTGTCCCTCAGCTCTTCAGCTCAAGGCTAGTGCTCTACCACTTGAGCCACAGCACCACTTCCAGCTTTTTCTGTTTATGTGGTGCTGAGGAATCAAACACAGGGCCTCATGCATGCAAGGCAAGCACTCTACCACTGAGCCACCTTCCCAGCCCTCTGGTTTTTATAATATTGTGTGTGTGTGTGTGTGTGTGTGTGTGTGTGTGTGTGTGTGTCAGTTGTGGGGCTTAAACTCTGGGCCTGGGTGCTGTCCCCAGCTCTTCAGCTCAAGGCTGGTGCTCTACCACTTGAGCCACAGTGCCACTTCCAGTTTTCTGAGTGGTTTATTGGAGATAAGAGTCTCACAGACTTTCTTGCCCAGGCTGGCTTTGAACCATGATCCTCAGATCTCAGCCTCCTGAGTAGCTAGGATTACAGGTGTGAGCCACCAGCACCCGGATTTTTATAAATATTTTATATATGCTTGAGAAGCATGTGCATTTAATAACTGTACCATTCTAGGTTATTTTTAAAAATCAGTTGTGAGGCTTGAACTCAAGGAGATGAGTCTCACTGACATTCCTGCTTGGTCTGGCTTTGAACAGATTCTCAGACCTCAGCCTCCTGAGTAGCTAGAATTATAGGCATGAGCAACCAGTGTCCAGCTTTAGGGTATCTAATAATAATAAGTTCAAGTTTATTTGTGCTATGCACAAGTCTACCTTTACTAGTTTTTCTTTCCTTTTCTTTTTGATGATCCTGAGACTTAAACTCAAGGCCTGGGCACTGTTCTTGAGCCTCTTTGTACTCAAGACTAGCTCTCTACCACTTGAGCACTATTTTGGCTTTTGTTGTTGTTGTTGTGGGTTGTGGGTCTTGAACTCTGGGCCTGGGCACCAGGCTCATTTTTGAGTAGTTTATTGGAGATAAGAATTTCTGGCTTCTGTTGTTGTTGTGGGCCTGGGCACCAGGCTCATTTTTGAGTAGCTTATTGGAGATAAGACTCTCTCAGAAGCCAGTGTTGGTAGCTCATGCCTGTAATCCTAGTTACCCAGGAGACTTAAGATCTGAGGATGGAGGTTCAAAGCCACCCCGGGCAGGAAAGTCCATGAGACTCATCTCCAATAAACCACCAGAAAACCACTTTGTGGCTCAAAGTGGTAGAGCACTAGCCTTGAGCTGAAGGGCAGTGCCCAGGCCCAGAGTTCAAGCCCCATGACTGACAAAAAAAAGTCTCAGAGGGACTTTTCTTTCTTTTTTTTTTTTGAGTCCAGTCATGGCCTGAACTCTGGGCCTGGGCACTGTCCCTCAGCTCTTCAGCTCAAGGCTAGCGCTCTACCACTTGAGCCACAGTGCCACTTCCGGCTTTTTTTTTTCTTTTTGCTTATGTGGTGCTGAGGAATCGAACCCAGGGCCTCAGGCATGCAAGGCAAGTGCTCTACCACTGAGCCACCTTCCCAGCCCCTCAGAGGGATTTTTCTACCCAAGCTGGCTTCAAACCATGATCCTCAGATCTCAACCTCCTGAGTAGCTAGGATTACAGGCTTGGGCCACCGGCTCAAGCTAGTTTCATTGTTTTTTGTTTGTTTGTTTTTTGTCAGTTGTGGGCCTGAACTCTGGGCCTGGGCGCAGTCCCTTAGCTCTTCAGCTCAAGGCTACAGCTCAACCACTTGAGCCACAGTGCCACTTCTGGCTTTTTCTGCTTATGTGGTGCTGAGGAATCGAACCCAGGGCCTCATGCATGGGAGGCAAGTGCTCTACCACTGAGCCGCCTTCCCAGCCCCTAGTTTCATTGTTTGATGTGTCAATTCCTGAGAGAGATGTTGAAATCATCAAATTCTCTGCTATTGAGAACAGATCACTTCTTATAATTAAATAAAATTTTGCCATACGTATTTTGAGATTATGTTATTTGGTGCATACAAGTTTAGGGTTTGTTTTATCCTTCTGGTGAAGTAATCCAGATTATTACAATAGTGACACTTTCTATCTCTAAAAACACTTTATGTCATAAGTCATTTTGTATAACCTGCATTACTTCTGTTTTTGTTTTTATGCCGGTCCTAGGGCTTGAATTCAGGCCCTGGGTGTTGTCCCTGAGCTTTTTTTTTTTTTTTTTGGGTCCGGTCGTGGGGCCTGAACTTTGGGCCTGGGCGCTGTCCCTCAGCTCTTCAGCTCAAGGCTAGCGCTCTACCACTTGAGCCACAATGCCACTTCCGGCTTTTTTCTTTTTGCTTATGTGGTGCTGATGAATCGAACCCAGAGCCTCATGCATGCAAGGCAAGCGCTCTACCACTGAGCCACCTTCCCAGCCCCTGTCCCTGAGCTTTTGTACTCAAGACTGACACTCTACCACTTAAGCTACAGTTCCACTTCTGGCTTTTTTTATTTTTTTGGGTCCGGTCGTGGGGCCTGAACTCTGGGCCTGGGCGCTGTCCCTCAGCTCTTCAGCTCAAGGCTAGCACTCTACCACTTGAGCCACAGCGCCACTTCCGGCTTTTTGCTTATGTGGTGCTGAGGAATCAAACCCAGGGCCTCGAGCATGCAAGGCAAGTGCTCTACCACTGAGCCACCTTCCCAGCCCATCCACTTCTGGCTTTTTTGCTGGTTACGTGTAGATAGGAGTCTCATGGATTTTCTTGCCCTGGCTAATTTCAAATGGTGACCCTCGAATCTCAGCCTCCTGAGTAGCTAGGATTATAGGCATGAACCACTGGTACCTGGCTTTAATTTCTGTTTTGTTCCCTGTGTTTCTAACTCTCAGAATTCAGAAAACTGCTCAAAGGAGAATGCCCTTGCAACAAAATGGCCTTTCATTGTACTGGGGGAACAGCTCCTCAGTGCACGTGGTACACAGGCAGGAAAAAGAAGATAATTCATCAGGACAGGGTCTGTCTTGAGACACCTATGTGGGCGCCTATTACCCCCGCTTCCCTTCTCACCTGGCAGTTGAGAATGTCATAGAGAAGGTCATTCTTCTGCGCTAGGTAACTCAGTAGCCGCAGGGCTTGCACCTGAAGTGAGGAAAGGATAAAGCTTGAGGCGCCACTGGCCTCAGTGGCGAGAAGATAGGATCCTCCGCCCTTTCCCCGACGGGCTATGCCTGCGGCTGCCCCGAGCCGGAGCACCCGTACCTGAGCCACGATGTAGTCCGACTGCATGATCTCCATCAGTGCGGGCATCACCCGCCGCAGCTGAGGATGCACATAGTCAGGCAGCGGAAGGTTGTTGAGGAGCCGGAGGCCTGCGACGTGCAGATCCGTGTCCCAGATGGTAGAGATCAGCTCCAGCACCTTGATGGAATGTTCCTGGGGTGGGAGACACAAGAAAAGGCTGGGTTTTTGTTTTTTTTTTTTAAGGGACAGCACCTAGGCCCTGAGTTCAAGCCCCAGGATGAGTACAAAGAATATATAAAATAATATAATAAAATAACATGGAGCCGGGCGCCAGTGGCTCACACTTAGCTACTCAGGAGGCTGAGATCTGAGGATCGCAGTACAAAGCCACTCTGGGCAAGACAGTCTGTGAGACTCTTATCTCCAATGAACCACCAGAAAACTGGAAGTGGCGCTGTGGCTCAAGTGGTAGAGCATTCGCCTTGAGCTGAAGAGGTGAGGGACAGCGCCCAGGCCCAGAGTTCAAACCCCACGACAGACAATAAAAGTCCTGGGGCTTAAACTCAGGGCCTAGACACAGTCCCTGAGCTTTTCTTGCTCAAGGATAGCACTCTACCACTTGAGCCACACTGCCACTTCTGGCTTTTTTTGTTTTTATGTGGTGCTGAGGAATCGAACCCTGGACTTCATGCATGCTAGGGAAGCGCTCTACTATTAAGCCACATTCCCAGCCCTCTGTTTTAGTCTTTTTTTTTTGCCCATCCTCCTCTTCATCTCCCTTAGTGAGATCATCCAGACTTGCAGAAGTAAATACTGTCCATTCACCGAGGGCTTCCAGATTTGCATCTCCAATGAGAAACACATCCAGCCCAAGCCTGAGGTGCCAGCCTCTGCCACTGGCGACACCTTCCTTCCCACGAGCTACTGCCATCATTCTTGACTACCTCACACACCTCTTTTTCGATCCTTTAGAAACTCCTATGGGCTCTCCCTTCAAAATCCACGGGAAACCGAGCCACTTCGCACAACTCCACTTCTCTTTCTAGTCCCAGTACTGGCATGCGCGTGCGCGTGCGCGTGCACACACACACACACACACACACACACACACACACACACGCACGCACGCACGCACGCCCGCCAAGAAATTCGTTTACTTGTCTAAGTTGGTTTATTGCTGGTGCATGTGCCTCATTGTCGTTTATCACACTTACGCCACTGCTGTCAAAAGATGTTTCCATCAGAATGACCGCAGAACCACCACCCTCGTGGGACCCACTTACAGTCATTACCACCCACAACCCCGGGCCAGAGCCCTGCAGACTCTAACCTGTTTTCCAGCTCTATTACTTTTTGAGAATGTTGTACAAATGAGACTCTATTTTTAAAAATACTGGCGCTTCAAGTCAAGCCTCCCACCTGCAACACACAGGCCTCTCCCATTTGAACCATGCCTCCAGTCCACTTTTGCAGATTGAGTCACTTGTTTTGTGCCAGCCTCAGACTGTAATCCTCCTACCTGTGTCTCCCATGTAGCTGGGGTGACCAGGGCACTCCCGTCAGGCTCTGCTCATTTATCAAGATGGGGTTTGGATATTTTTCCCAGGCTGGCCTTGAACTGCCATCTTCTTAATCTCCATCTCCTGTAGCTGGGATTACAGGCATGTGCCACCATACCTAGTCCTTTTACATGACCTTTAAAGATTTTTTTAAAATATGTAACATACTGTCCTCAAGATCCATCCAACTTATGTGTTTCAATATTTCATTCCTTTTTTTTTTTTGTCAGTTGTGGGGCTTGAACTCGACCTGGGCGCTATCCTCAGCTCTTCAGCTTAAGGCTAGCACTTTACCACGAGCCACAGCAGCACTTCTAGTGTTCTGAGTGGTTTATTGGAGATAAGAGTCTCATGAAGGGTCTGGGAAGTTGGCTCAGTGGTAGAGAGCTTGCCTAGCATGCATGAGGCCCTGGGTTCCATTCCTTGGCACCACATAAACAGAAAAAGCCAGAAGTGGTGCTGTGGCTCAAGTGGTAAAGCAATAGACTTAGCTGAAGAGCTGAGGGACAGCGCCCAGAGCCAGAGTTCAGGCCCCATGACCGACAAAAAAAAACAAAAACATAAAAGAAAGTATCACAGAGCACAGAGTTTCCTGCCCAGACTGGCTTTGAACTGCGATCCTCAGATCTCAGCCTCCTGAATAGCTAGGATTACAGGCGTGAGCCACCGATGCCCAGCTGTTTCATTCCTTTTACTGTTGAATAGTAGTCCATGATGTAGCCATAGCACCATTTGCTTAACATCCAGTTGGGGACTATTTCAAATAAGGTTGCAGAGGGCAATTGTATGCAGGTTTTTGTGCAGATGTAAATGTTCATTTCTCTAAGATGAAGTCCAGGAAACAGGTTGCTAAACACATATTTAGCATTCTTCTAAACTGCCAGGCTGTTTTCCAGAGTGGCTGCCGTTCGATTTCACAACCCCACCGGCAACGCAGGAGGGATTGCTTCTTAGAATCTTCCCCAATACTTGGTATTTTCATGAATTTTTATTTTAGCCCTCTTAATAGGTATATGTGAATATCTCCACCTGGTTTTAATGTTTTATTTCCCTAGTGGCTGGGATGTTCAACTTCTTTTTTTTTTTTTTTTTTTTTGTCGGTCGTGGGGCTTGAACTCTGGGCCTGGGCGCTGTCCCTCAGCTCTTCAGCTCAAGGCGAGCGCTCTACCACTTGAGCTACAGCGCCACTTCCGGTTTTCTGGTGGTTTATTGGAGATAGAAGTCTCACGGTCTTTCTTGCCCGGGCTGGCTTTGAACCGCAATCCTCAGATCTCAGCCTCCTGAGTAGCTAGGATGACAGGCGTGATCAACTTCTTTTCCTGTGCTGATGTGTAACTGACGCATTCTCTTCAGTGTGGCTTCTCTTCAGGGCTCCTGTCCATTTTCTAACTAGACTGATGTTTTGTTTTGTTTTTTAATACTGGGTTTTGAGAGCTCTCTGTATAATTCTGGTGAGTCCTTTGTGAGATAGGCAGTTTGTAAATATTTTCTCCCCGTCTTCTCTTTGCTTTCTCACCTTTTTGTCTTTTTTATTGTTGGTTGGTCATGGGGCTTGAACTCTGGGCCTGGGTGCTGTCCCTCAGCTCTTCAGCTCAAGGTGAGCACCCTACAGCTTGAGCCACAGCACCACTTCTGGTTTTCTGACTGGCTTATTGGAAATAAGGAGTCCCACAGACTTTCCTATCTGGGCTGGCTTTGAACCATGATCCTCAGATCTCAGCCTCCTGAGTAGCTAGGATGACAGGCATGAGCCACCAGTGCCCAGCTGGGCCTCACGCCTCACACTTTTGCCTAGGCTGTCCTAGAACTTTGATCCTCTCATCTTCATCTCCCTCATGGCTTGGATTATTGGTGTGAGCCACCATGTCTGTCTTTTTTTTTTTTTTTTGGTCAGTCCTGGGACTTGAACTCTGGGCCTGGGCGCTGTCCCTGAGCTCTTCAGCTCAAGGCTAGCGCTCTACCACTTGAGCCACAGCGCCACTTCCAGTTTTTTTTTTTTCTAGTGGTTTATTGGAGATAAGAGTCTCAGGGACTTTCCTGCCCGGACTGGCTTTGAACTGCGATCCTCAGATCTCAGCCTTCTGAGTAGCTAGGATTACAGCGTGAGCCACCGGCGCCTGTTCCCATGTCTGTCTTCAACTTACCAAGCTTGTTTCCTTTGGTCTCAGGAACTCTTCTCCACAGCCTCCCTTATCCTTGGACTTGATTCATCTGCACTGCATAGGTCATGTGTGACACACATGTGTGACACACATGACCCATGTTCCTTGACTGTGGCTCGCCTGGCGTGCCCTGTGCGGGGCTCAGTGCACAACAAGGACAGGGGTCTTTCCTTCTGGCCTCATTTCCAGCACATACAACTGCAACTTAGCACAAAGTAAGGACTCCACACACATGTGTGAAATGAGTACAGGATCCTGGGTTCTGAGACGCTGGAGGCCAAAGACAGGAAGGCTCGAGAACCCCGGAAGGCGGGGAGAAGGATCCTGGAGTGCCAGCCAGCGACCCAATAGGACCCCTGTTTCCTGCTCATTCTATTGAAGGCTAAGAGCTGAAGTTCGCAAGTCTGGGTGGGGCCTCAGATGGAGCCTGGAGCAGGTGCAAAGGTCAGGGGGTGGGAGAGGGAGGAGCACAGAGGAAATGCTGCACTGAGGGGCGGGGCCAGCCACCTGCACCTGTACCCCTGACAGAGGCGTGAGGCCAACTCCATTTTGGATGTGTTGAGTGAGAGGACCTCTAGTGTCCATTAACAGCTGGCCAAGGGAGGCGGTGTGGGCGCCCCCTGGCTGTGGAGATCAGAAGAGCACATTTAGCGGAAACAGGATGCTCCTCAGGAGGGAGGAGAGGGACGGCTCCTCAGGACTCAGCTGCTAGGGAGACAGGAACAGTGCGGCTCAGGCCACCTCCATGAGGAGTTGCTGGGGGACTCATGAGAAGCAGAGCTCCCCTGCTAAGTGGACCCCTGTAGGAATGAGACCCCAAATCACTGCTTTTACAGCTGTGCAATGATCCATAGGCTGGAGCACCAGGGAGGATGGAGTGGGAGACCCAGACACTCGGTTTGTTTGTTGAGACAAGGCCTCAATGTGTAGCTCAGGCTGGCCTCGGACCTGAGATTCTCCTGCCTCCGCCTTCTGAGTGCTGGGATTACAGATAGGCACTACAACATCGGTTCTGCTACTCCCCCACCTTGTCACGACAAAAAGTTCCAAATTGTGTAATTCTCAAATTCTGACGAAAGTGTTACAGGAACAATGGTATGAGTCCAACCAGGGTGGACTCTGGACAGCCCTAAGAAAAGTGGGAAGCCGGGAGCAGGTAGCTCACCCCTGTAATCCTAGCTACTCAGGAGGCTAAGATCTGGTCTTTCCTGCCCAGGCTGGCTTTGAACCGCGATCCTCAGATCTCAGCCTCCTGAGTAGCTAGGATTACAGGCGTGAGCCACCAATGCCCGGCGAGAGAGAGACTCTTATCTCCAATTAACTACCAGAGAACCAGAAGTGGCACTGTGGCTCAAGTGATAAAGCGCTTGCCTTGAGCTGAAGAGCACAAGGACAGCACCCAAGCCCAGAGTTCAAGCCCCATGACTGACAAAAAAAAAAAGAAAGAAAGAAAAAGAAAAGAAAGAAAGAAAGAAAAGTGCCTTCCAGTCCTGCACACTCCCCTACAGCAAGACTCCAAAGACCAGCAGAGGGTGTGCACAAGCATGCTCAGGGCACAAGAACCTGGGAAAAGTGAGAATACTCCCTAACAGGCAGACAACAGGCTACTCCCAAAATTGCCACCACACAGCCTGGAAGGGTGAACCATTTGATGCAGGGGCAGGGAGGACACAATGTTAAATATGCCCTACTAAATAGGCAAATGAGTTCCATTTAATATGCAAATGTAGGCATAGGGTAACTTTTTACAAAGATTACCAAGGAAAGTGTGGATGAGCTGCGGGTGAGGATGGGAGGCCCTCCAGGGGCTATGTTCCATTTGAGGAATGGGTTGGAGTTGCAGGTTTTGTTTTTATTGATATTCTACTTTACACCTACAAACTGTTCATGAGTTTTACAGGTTTGTTTTAAATTAGGGAGAACCCTTTAGTTCAGAAGAGATGTTTGGGGATCTTGATTTTTTTTTTTTCTGTGCCAGTCCTGGGCTTGAACTCAAGGTCTGGGCACCGTTCCTGAGCTTTCTTGCTCAAGACTGGTGCTCAACCTTGGGCCACAGCTCTACTTCCAGCTTTTTTGGTGGTTAATTGTAGATAAAAGTCTCACAAACTTTCCTGCCCAGGCTGGCTTTGAAGCCCTGTATCAGATCTGCCCCCTGAGTTGCTAGGATTACAGGCCTGAGCCTGTACTTCAGATGGCATGTGCTTAAGTAAGATGAGGCTGGCCACCACACAGGTCACACCACCAGGAGAGACTGGAATCTCCAGCCCCGCCCTACCTCTAGCTCCTGAGAGGGGGGGAAGGGAGGTGGTTGGAGATTGAGTTTTATTGCCAATGGCCAAAGACTTAATCAATCATACCTACACAATGACCCTCCGGAAACACTCCTAACCAATGGGGTTCAGTGTTTTCAGATGGCTGAGCTAAGAGGTGCTGATGGGGGGGGGGGGTGATACCCAGACAGGTTCTTATGTTCTTTTTTTTTTTCTTTTTTCTTTTGCAGTTCCAAGGACTGAATTCAAACCCTGCATATACTAGGTGAGCATGCGCTCATTTATTTTCATTTTAGGGTTGAGAGAGGTCCTGCTAATTTGGCCATAGCTGCTCTGGAACATGTGATCCTCACACCTCCATCTCGTAAGTAGCTGGAATTATACCTAGTTACTACTGTGTCCAGCTAGAGTTGTGCCCTTTATTTATTTATTTTGTGGGGGAGGTCTGGTCCTGGGGCCTGAACTCTGGGCCTGGGCGCTGTCCCTCAGCTCTTCAGCTCAAGGCTAGTGCTCTACCACTTGAGCCACAGCGCCACTTCCAGCTTTTTTCTTTTTGCTTATGTGGTGCTGAGGAATTAAACCCAGGGCCTCAGGCATGCAAGGCAAGCGCTCTACCACTGAGCCACCTTCCCAGCCCTAGAGTTGTGCCCTTTATAATAAATAATAAACTGGTAAACTAAGTGTTTTTTTGTTTTTTGTTTTTTGCTTTTGCCAGTCCTGGGTCTTGAATTCAGGGCTTGGGCTCTTTTGCTCAAGGCTAGTACTCTACCACGTGAGCCACAGTGCCACTTCTGGCTTTTTTTTCCCCCCTGTTTACGTGGTATAAAGGAATTGAACCCAAGGCTTCATGCATGCGAGGCAAGCACTCTACCACTAAGCCACCTTCCCAGCCAACTAAGTAGTTTCTTGGGTCACTTTAGTGGGCCACAGCTAAAAAGGGAAGCTAGGGGAACTCCAGCTTTAGAGACAGTTGGTCAGAAGTTACACTTAACCCACTGGGTCTGAAATGGAGAGGTCTTGAGGGATTGAGCCTTAATTTGCGGGTCTCTATTAACATCACTGTGTGTAGGACCGCACTGTATCCTGACCAATATATCCAGCTAGTGCTGGAGAACTGATTGGTGCCCAACAATTTCTGGAGGGTGGGGAGAGACTTCTTGCCTTGTTCAGTTTCACCCCAACCTTCAGAGGCCTTCACAGCCTGAGGGGAAAGCCGACCACATCCCCCATTTGTTTCTGGGCTACCAACTCAACTGTCAAAGAAACTTCTGGAAACAGGTGCATTTATCCTATGCAAATTAAAGCACCCAAAAGCCCAAGGCTGTCCCGAGTGTAGCACCCTGCTACTTGCCCGGGGGCTTACCTGAATTTTGAGCCTGAATTTCCTGATGCCCGAGAAAGCTTTAAGTGCATTCAGAGCCTGGATCTTGACATTGTTGTCCTTTTCGTCCAGCATGTCACCCACCAACATGATGTCATCCGTCGTACAAGCAGAGGCCTGGGGTGTGTGGGGAGATGGAAGAGGCAGGAGGAATCAGAGTCCCCGGGGGTCCGTAGGCACACCCCTGCTGCCCCCCTTCCAGAGAGGTCGGGGAAGCCGTGCACCCTGTCGCTGGGCAGGGAGGAGGCCGGGCTGGCGTCCCTTGGCTCACCTCAGCCTCAAGCAAGTACACGCAGCGGGTGATGCTGTGCAGAATCATGCTCTTGGCGTAGTCGTCCTGCTTACACTCCAAACAGTTGAGGAGTCTCCGGAGCTCACCCGAGTCCCGCCCATGGCGCTCTCGCTCGATCGCCAGGCCTAGACAGCCACCCAACCCAGTTCAGGCTGTGGACTCAGAAATAATGAAAGTAGGGGGTTGGGAAGTGGGAGAACAGGAACCTGGGGGACAAAGCTGCCCAGCTTATTCTAAAGAGAAGTGTGTGTGTGTGTGTGTGTGTGTGTGTGTGTGTGCACGCACACAGGTACTGGGGCTTGAACTCAGGCTCTTGCACTCTTGCTTAGCTTTTTTGTTGTTGTTCAAGGCTGATATTCTACCACATGAACCCCAAGGCTACTTTCAACTTTTTTTTTTATCAGTCATGGGGCTTAAACTCTGGGCCTGGGCGCCATCCCTGAGCTCTTCAGCTCAAGGACAGCTCTCTACTACTTGAGCTACAGTGCCACTTCTGGTTTTCTGGTGGTTTATTGGAGATAAGAGTCTCACAGACTTTCCTGCCCAGGCTGGCTTTGAACCATGATCCTCAGATCTCAGCCTCCTGAGTAGCTAGGATTACAAGGCATGAGCCACCAGTGCTAGCTACTTTCAACTTTTTACTGATTAATTAGAGTTAAGAATCCTTTAGGGGGGGCTGGGAAGGTGGCTCAGTGGTAGAGAGCTTGCCTTGCATGCCTGAGGCCCTGGGTTCGATTCCTCAGCACCACATAAGCAAAAAGAAAAAAGCCGGAAGTGGCACTGTGGCTCAAGTGGTAGAACACTAGCCTTGAGCTGAAGAGCTGAGGGACAGCGCTCAGGCCCAGAGTTCAGGCCCCACAACTGGACCAAAAAAAAAAAAAAAAAGAATCCTTCAGGGGTCTGGGAAGGTGGCTCAGTGGTAGACTTCTTGTCTTGCATGCATGAGGCCCTAGGTTTGATTCCTCAGCACTACATAATCAGAAAAAGCCAGAAGTGGCACTGTGGCTCAAGTAGTAGAGAGGGCTAGTCTTGAGCTGAAGAGCTGAGGGGCAGCGCCCAGGCCCAGAGCTCAGGCCTCACAACTGACAAAAAGCAAACAAAAAACAACAACAACCAAAAACAAAAACAAAAAAAAACCTAGTCTTGCAGATTTGTCTGCCTAGGCTGGCTTTGAACCAGGAGCCTCAGATCTCAGCCTCCTGAATAGCTCAGATACAGGTAGGAACCACCAGTACCTGGCAAGAAAAAGCTCTTTTCCTATCTTCAGGACTGCCATGTACAGTTGTACAGGGAGCACATTATACAAGGCTACCATACATAATAGTGTTCATATCATAATGTCATACGTTTGTCCGTTTACTACCTGCAAATCGGCACAGGCAGTAACTGGTGTTTCCTTGTGTGCTCTGTACATGGCAATGAGACCCCTAGACAGCCACAAAGGGTCTCACCTCATACACACGCCGCATGGGCTAGAAGAGGCACTGCACACGTGCCCACAATTTCCCCTTTGCTTCAAGTCTCCAGTTCCTAGATAAGACATGGAGTCGGGAGCTACAACGGAGGAGCCAGGCAAGTTCTCAAGACTGGAGTCCTGGTAACCAGGCTCCATGCAGGATTCGGAAAACCTGCCTTTGGGGCTGGGAAGGTGGCTCAGTGGTAGAGCGCTTGCCTTGCATGCATGAGGCCCTGGGTTCGATTCCCCAGTACCACATAAGCAAAAAAAGAAAAAAAAAAGCTGGAAGTGGCACTGTGGCTCAAGTGGTAGAGCGCTAGCCTTGAGCTGAAGAGCTGAGGGACAGTGCCCAGGCCCAGAGTTCAGGCCCCACGACCGGACCAAAAAAAGAAAAAAGAAAACCTGCCCTTGGAAAACTGGAGATCTACTGTAGAAAGGTCCCAGGGACCCAGAACTAGCTTCTGTCACCCTAGGCTCTGACCCAGGGTGCCGCAGAGTAAGCCTGAGAAAGATGGAGGGAGAGAAAGGAGGAGAGAGGAACTTGAAGGAGTCACCTGTGGGCTTTCCCCCAGGGGAGGCCTCAGAAGCAGGTGGCTCCTGGGGCAGAGCCCTCTCCCCAGAGGGCAGACACTCACGGGCGATGCAGATGGGTGAGTTGGTGCAGAGGGGCGGTTGACATTTTATACCAGCCTTGATGGCCTTGTAGAGCAGGTACAGGGCTCCAGCACCCGTGGCCAGGCCCACTAGACTTTTTCGGAAGTTCAGCTGCTGCAGGCAAGCGGGGAGGCTCCTGCCCATGTCTTCAGCCCTGCCTTGTGCCAGGTGGGAGCCAGGCCCCCGGCCTACCGGCGAGGGCCTTCCGGAACCAGAACTCTGGTAGGAGCTAGGAATCAGGTGTTAGAATTGGAACTCAGAGAGACAATGGGATGGAGGATGGTAATCAGGAAATGCAGCCATGGGGACAAAGGTTCGGTCTCGCAGGAAGCTGGCTTCAAGGGTATAAAAAGGCAGGGGCAGCTGGCACCGGTGGCTCACACCTGTAATCTGAGCCTATACAAGAGGCTGAGATCTGAGGATTGAGGTTCAAAGCAGCCTGGGCAGGAAAGTCCATGACACTCTTATCTCCAATAAACCACCAGAAAACCAGAAATGGCACTGTGGCTCAAGTGGTAGAGCACTAGCCTTGAGGTGAAGATCTGAGGGACAGCGCCCAAGCCCAGAGTTCAAGCCCCATGACCAACAACAACAAAAAAGGGCAGGCAGCAGATGGGGGGGGGGAGGGTGGGGGAGGGAGGAGGATGGGGGGAGGGGGAGGGGTTGGCTTGTGGTAGAGGCTTGCCTAACATCTGCTAGGCCCTAGGTTCTACTTCCAACATGTTTTTAGTTTCTTTAGAGGACGAAGCAGGTAGTAGCTGAAGTGCCCTTTCTTCCAGCAGGGGGCAGCAGAGGCCACAGCTGGGCGCTGGGCCTCTGGGCATGCTGGGAGAGAAGGTGGGTTATGCACCTTGGACTGGTTCCTTGGTTTCCCTGGCCTTTCCATCTTTCATCTCTTTTTCTTCCCTCCTTCCCTTCCTTCCTTCCTTCCTTTCTTCTTTCTTTCCTTTTTTTTTTTTTTTTTTTGGTCGGTCGTGGGGCTTGAATTCTGGGCCTGGGCCCTGTCCCTCAGCTCTTCAGCTCAAGGCGAGCGCTCTACTACTTGAGCTACAGCGCCACTTCCGGTTTTCTGGTGGTTTATTGGAGATAGGAGTCTCACAGTCTCTCCTGCCTGGGCTGGCTCTGAACCGGGATCCTCAGAACTCAGCCTCCTGAGTAGCTAGAGTTATAGGCGTGAGGCACCAGCGCCCGGCCTGGAAGCCGTCTTTGGTAGGTGTGAGGCCTGTGCCTAGGATGGAGCAGGTGAGACCAATCAGATCCTTCACTTCTCCCCACTCCTTTCCGTACAAAACCCTGCCCTCCAGGCAGGGTCAGGCCCAGAGCCCAGGCGCAGCTGCCTCATGACAGGGCTTCACCAGCCTGGCCTGGGGCCCCTGCTAGGAGAGCTGCAACCAAAGGTTCTGGTCTCAGGATATACCTGAGTAGGAACCAAACAGAGGCCCAGGACTGTCACCCAACCTGCAGCCTGCTGGGCCTGCCCACTCCAAAGTTCTGCCATCACACCCTAAGCTGCAGGCAGGGAGCAGGATGCATGTCTGCGGACCTTTCTCTTCCCACCTCTCTTCCAACTTTTTTTTTTTTTTTTGGTTGGTCCTGGGGCTTGAACTCTGATCTTGGGTGCTGTCCCTGAGTGCTCTACCGCTTGAGCCACAGCACCACTTCCTGTTTTCTAGTGGTTTATTAGAGATGAGTCTTACAGACTTTCCTGCCCAGGCTGGCTTTGAACCTCGATCCTCAGATCTCAGCACCCTGAGTAGCTAGGATTACAGGAGTGAGCTACCGGCACCCGGCTTTGTCTCTTCTAATTCTTTTTTTTTTTTTTTGTCGGTTGTGGGGCTTGAACTCTGGGCCTGGGCGCTGTCCCTCAGCTCTTCAGCTCAAGGCGAGCGCTCTACCACTTGAGCTACAATGCCACTTCGGTTTTCTGGTGGTTTATTGGAGATAGGAGTCTCACGGTCTTTCCTGCCCGGGCTGGCTTTGAACCGAGATCCTCAGATCTCAGCCTCCTGAGTAGCTAGGATTACAGGCGTGAGCCACCAGCGTCCGGCTTGTCTCTTCTAATTCTTAAGGGTCATTCCTAGAACTATGTCTTACCCTGAGATGGGTGACTCCATGGCTCCTTGCAAAAACCAGGGTCCCCCAGAAGTCTCCCCACTGATATAAAACCACCTATCACTTTCCAGGAACATGGGACAGAAAGTCCTTAAGTTACTTTGGCCATCAAGCTACCTAAAGGTCACTGCCCTGAGCTACTTTGGTAGATCTGGGACTAGATCTTCAGGGGCCCTGGCTCTATGCTTATCTGAAGTAAAACCTAGAAGTTCCTGCTCTTTCCATCCTACAGAACTGATTACAAAACCTTCACATCCTAAGCAAATACTCCCTAGTCGATTTTTCTTAAAGACTTCCAAAGCGGACTGGGCATAATAGTATACCTATATAATCCCAGCTATTCAGGTGACTGTAAGGATCTCACGCCAGCCTAGGAGAACTGAGGAGCAAGTTAGTGATACATATATCCTCTCAGCCGATACACTAGGTATGGTGGTGTGGACTTGTAATCCCAGCTACCCAGGAGGCATAGATAGGAATGGGGTCTGAAGGAAACCCCAAGGTAAACCCTCAAAAAACAAAAAACAAACCAAAAAACCCCTACCTAAATAATAAAGCAAAAATGGGCTGGTGGCAAGACTCAGTGGTAGAGCGCCCCCTAGCAAGTGTGAGGCTAAGCTCAAACTCCAGTAACCCCCCTCTTCCCCCCCCAAAAAAAAAATCTTTCAGACAGTTCTTTTTTGGCTGTAACTTGATCTCCTCCAGCTAAACCTAAAATGTAAGTCCTCAACACAACATGTTCATGTCCTCAATGCAATTTAGGGAAAAAAAAAAGAGGAATGTCTGTCAAAGTAAAGACAAGGATGCCTTTAGTGGAAATGTTGCTGTTTGTAGCGATGGTGTTTCACCGTGTTGCCAACGCTGGTCTTAAAATCCTGAGCTCCAGTGATCCTTTCAGCCTCCCAAGTAGCCAGGACTACAGGTGTGCACTACTGGGCCAAGCAGGAATGATTGTCTTGATTCAGATGATGATGTTTTTATTTTCAGATGATCGATAGTGGGTGTGTTTTGAGTGTTCTTAGGAAACATTTATTAAAAGCTGCAACTCTTTCTGGGAACTTGGCTTTTATTTTCCTGTTTTGTTTTTCTGTCAAATCCAGAAATCTGAAACCACTGGTCAGAGTCTCTGGGAGCCATTATACACAGAACCAGCTGGAAGTTCCTTACCTAGCTCCACCAAGGAAAGTACAAGGGGTTACCACCTGTGCTGGTACCAGGCTCATGTGGGCATCATGTTTGGGTGCTGGCCACACAGCCAGGGTTCAAAACCAGTTCAGCCACTTAGCTGTGATCTTTGTGCCTCATTTTCCCCAGCTGTAAAATGGGACTAGACCTACTTCCTGGTGTTTGTGAGAGTTTAGCCCTTGGATCCGTGCCCAGCACAGCGTTCAACCGATGTTGATTGGGGGTTGGTTCCACAGGCAACACGGTATGGGAAAGCAGAAGCACAGAACTCAAGCCTATGTACCCTGGCTACCTTCTGGAAGGCCCCACAAATCCCTAGGGCAGGAGCACCGCTCCCCAGCCCACTCCTCAGAGCTACTTTTTGTTCCTTAAAGTGTTCCAGCCACCTGTGAAACCCCAAGCCTGCTCATTCTCTCCCAGCTGAACCTAGCAGCCCACTTCGGCCTGGTTACTTGAAGACTTCCGGGAGCTACTGGGGGCCTGCTTTCAGAGGCCCTGCTCTGGAGGCCTGCTTTCAGAGGCCCAGCTCTGGAGGTTTAAAAGCTACAGAAAATTTGATCACCCCCCCCCCCCCCACACACACACACACTCCAATAAAAAGCCCTTGGGAGCCTGACCCTGAGTTCAGTGTAGGAGTGGACAAATCCCAGGATCTTAGTGCCTAAGTGCCACCAGGAAGCGAGGCCAGGGAGGCGCGCTGCTGTGAGGCCCGCGCCAAGTCCACCAATGAAGGGCTGGGGGGGGGGGGGGGAGGCGGCCCACCCTCTGGGACCACCTGCTCCCAGCCCAGCAACCAGTCCGGGGGAGCCGGGGCCCATGGCTCGTTACCCCAGCGAAGGGGGGGAGACAGAGAAGCCCGGCCAGAGAGCACTGGAGGGTGGGGTGCAGAGGAAAGACCGGGAGGGGGGCGGCCAGAGGCCTCGTCTCCCCGCCGGGGCCTCCTCCCCCCGGCCTCCCCCCCCCCAGCCTCGCGCGCAACCCACGGCGGGCCTCCCCACCCCCTTCGTCCCTCCCCGACCCCCCCTCGCCTCTCCCGCCCGGGCCTCCCCTCCCTCCCCGCGCCCGCCTCCGGCCTTCCCCTCCCCGACCCCCCCCCCCCGCGCATCCGGCGGCGGGCACAGGATGTTCTTTCGCTCCCGTCCTCCCTCCCCCGCCCCCGCTCTCACTTTCTCTCCGTTCCCCTCCTCCACTCCGCCGCGCCCCGCGCCGGCACCTTGCTTAACTCCTCCTCTCCCGCGCTCCGCGGCGCGGGCCCGCCCGCCTCCCCGCAAAGCGCAGGGCCGCTGCCCAGGGCCCAGCGGGGATGGACGTGCAGAGGGCTCCCCGGGGCCGGCGCCCTCCGAACCCCCTTCGCTCCGGCCACGACGCACGCCCGGGGAAGCGCCCCAACGGGCGCAGTCGCCCCGGCCCGAGAGGGACGGGAGGAGAGGATCGGGTCCTGGGGCCCCCGGCACCAAGCTCGCCCCAGGTGGCGATCCAGAGCCACCCCGGCCGCGCCAGAGGATGGAGGCAGGCCACGCCCCCCGCCTGCGTCACCATCTCCAAGGCAACGGGGGCGGGGCTCAGGGAGTCCAGACAGCCCGCGGCTCTGGGACCGGGTGGGGTTAAGGGTGGGGGCGCGGCGGAGCCCGCGGTTTCGGTTCTGGTCCCTGAGGTCCGAGAATCTGAGTGAGGGACAGCTTTTGTCGCCTGCTTGGTTTCACAAGCTTGCTTTGGCGCTTGGGCACCGGGCCACCGAGCTGGATGGAAGCTTGCAGTCACCTGCAGTCGTGAACCCGAATAGCGGCCATGCATCCCAGGCTAGAACCTGTGTAACTATTAATGCGTCCTTTTCACGCGTAAATAGCCCGGAATGAGCAGCTGTTAAGGAAGACATCGTCCCCCCAACTCACGGAAGGCTCCAGCCATGCAAGGAAGACACACCTGTGTGCTCCTCATGGAACTGGACTTTTCCTGGCCATTTGTTGTCTGGGTGCTTTGCCACCTTGTGCAGATAAGTATCCCATCGCCTTTCCCACATGGAGA